TGTCCCCTTATTTATTCTGCAAGTGGATTGATACTGTCATGTTTTAATTATTGTATTTGGTTTGGTGCCTAGGACAGCTAGAGAAGGGGATTTTGACATTAACTGCTTGTCATCAGACATTTTGATATATTGGAAAAGATTTACCAAATCTTTCTACAGTGATGTAGAAATCAAATTCTTGCACATGGTTTCCATGGACATGTTTACTGCAGGAACATGGGATAGTTTTTCAGTCAGCCTACTCCAGTTAGTAAGGTTTCACTATTTTTGCAAGTGGCATACACACTTATTCCTCTTCAGACAAGTTGGGATATTTCACTTTTGGATTAGATAACTTGTTTTAAAGATGTAGTGATATCTTAAAGTTATGAACAGGACAATTCTATTAATGTTTAAAAAAAATATTTTTATTTTTGTATTGAGCAGGCACTGTCAAAAGCAGGAGGACCAGTATTCAGTTTCCCATGCATTGATGCTAACATTTCCATCTTTTTTTTTGCAATGCCATGAGGGAACAATTTAAGTCACAGGAACAGAGACAACAAAGGGCAGCAAAGGAGTGTGCAACGGTAATCTAAACCGAATCCTAATGAAGTCAATGATAATTTCTCCAGGACTACAATGGCTTTGAATCAGGTCCTGAGGGGCAGCGTTATAATGTAGGTGTCAGCATGTTTGTAAATCCCACTTGATACCTATCTGCATGTTTAGATAGCTGAGTAGTAGTGAATTTCTGCACTATCAGATATCCTTATGTCTCAGACAAGGTCAGATGCATCTGCTACTGCAGCCTGTGTTACACCTTGCTGAAGCCATTGGGCATCACCACTTTAAATAAAGTGATTATGAGTAGTCGTTAAATTCTTCCCTGAAAGCCAGCAGGTAAATAGTGCTCTCCAACCACCCATCACTGATTTCTACAAGAAAGGAAAAGGCAGCTCAGGAATTTCAAACTGCGTGGAAATAGGTGATTTACTGAGTATAGTCCTAAGCAGGTAAGTGTCTCCACACGCGTGGGTGCGTGATGAGGAGAGGGAGAGCTGAGCGGTGTGACAGCTCGTAGGAGAAGACTGCAAAGACAGCAAGGGCATCGTTGTGGAATGGGGAAGGAGCCAGCAAGAGTCTTTGCGGGTCCTGTCCAAGAGGACTTTTGTGCTGAGAAAAGGGAAATATGTCTACAGTGTCTGAGACCATCTTTGTTGTGGCCAAGGAAACAAGACCTTGTCCATTCTTACGCATAAAAGCTTTGCAGAGCAATCAGAATAAGAAAATGCCCGACTCAAACATCAGGTTCTCCCACTATCTGGAGTAATCTATAAAACTTGAATTTCTGGCTAGTTGTCTGGATTAAGAGGAATTGCATGCATTTTACCAATGTAATGTCTAGTAAAGGATTTATTTATCCAGTCAGTTGCTTTTCTAGCAGCTGCTGTGGCTTCATCTGCAATACAGTTATCAGTACAGTTCCTTCCTTTTTTTTCTGAATAACTTTGGAGATCAGTTGTTGCTATCTTCTCTGAGTATGGATGTTCTTTATACAGTTAGTCTGTCTAATTTCTGGACCTTTTCTGAAGCATTTTCTTTCAAAGTCATTTAGACACTTGCTTCTGCCTTTGGTGTGTTTTCAACATGTGTGTTTGAACAGGGACATGTTGGCAGTCCCTATTCCAGCTTCATGAAAGCTGCGTGGACATATTCTGACTGCACAGGGGGAGAAAAGACTTGGGTATACACAACATCTGCACACCACTGGGTTCCCACGGTGAGGAAATCCAGAACTGCAGCCAGACAGGGAGATTGGTGCCCTCCAGCAGGTCCCCAGACCTGGAAGGGGAAGGTATGTGATACACTACGGAGCATGCCTGCCCCAGGCTGTAGGTAGGGACAACGTTGGACACATATGGTCTAGATTATTGGTGATGAAAATTTGTTTAAGCTGCTGAAGGCCAGGCACCACTTTGGTATTTGATGACATTCTTTTCTTCAGGTGGCTGCCCTTGGTTGGCACCCTCCTGTGAGTTAGAGTTGACTCACCTCTTGCATGGCATAACACAGTAGGAGCAGCTCAATTGCTGTCGGTCCATTTTTGGAGGACGTTTTCCCCTGGCTGATTGGTATCTTTGTCTATTTTTGTGGGGAGGGACAGTCCTAAAGGCTTTGTCTGTACATGTAATTTAGAAGGCTTGAGTCGACAGTATCATTTTAATATTCTGGTACAGTGCTTTTCTGGTTTGCCATGCCTGCTTCATACGGTTTTAACCCTTTTTTTTGATAATAAAATCAATGCCTGACAAAGAAATTGTGAATGAATGAGCCTGTGTTTGACAGGTAAGTTTGATTAACCTATTTGTGCAGGTTCCCATTTACCTTAACTGTTCAAGCAGAACCTTGGCATAAAACTTTGATGAGGTTCATGGTTTTTATTAGCATGCAATAGACCTTCAAGATGTTCCAGAGTGAATTGCACTGTGAGCTAGCAAATTCTTCCATAAATCCAGATAAATTTAAGCCTCTCAATACTTTTTGAAATCTGCCTCTGAAGTAGGCTCCACAATTTCTGGATTTAAAACCTGCTGCCAGTTTTTTTCTAGATTTAAAACCTGCCCTATTTAAGGGCATATGATGACTGCACTGGTTGGACCATCCTTTCAAGTTTCAACCCATAGCTCATGTCCATGAAACCCAGGAACATCTATAAAATTGCAGATGCATGGATCACATGAAATCACAGGCATTTCCTGCTTTAGCCTGGCACATATCTTTCCCAACCTAAATGATGAATACTTATCCGTGTAGGAAATAGGAGACAAGCTCAGAAATATTATTTAATAACATCTTATGTTATAGGAGGATTTGTGATACTAACCCCAAATGTGAAAAAAAAATACAAAAATAAGATGAAGATAAAAAAATCTCCTACATTCCTTTTTATTTTCTGCCTGGCTAAAGCACTGCTGCTGAGACATTCTTGTTGTCATAAATGTTCCCCTCACACCCTGAGCAAACACTGAAAAGCAATTCTTTACCCCATTTTCATCAAACTGTAGCTCATGTTCAAACCAGTGTGATGGTATCAGAGACACAGAATATTTTTTAATAGTATGAAAATACTATCCTGTGCCCACAGAAAGTAGATAAGTGCTAACGCTCCTCCCATCATAATGCAAATTTGTTGGAGCTGCTTTGAATGTTTGCTTCAGTTTATAATCAGAAGACTCACTTCCCTAAAGTTGTCTGAACTGAAAAGTTACAGGAGTGAGCCTGGCTACAATAGCAGCTGAATATTTGGTTAAGTATTCCGAATACCTCTCCGCACATCAGGTTTATGAGCATTGTTCAATAAGCTAGAAGATGTTGAAGATAAAAATTGAAATGAGTGAAAACATTTTGTTGTGACAATTTTGAAATGAAACATCCTAATTTTTCATCTTGAAAAAAGTCTGTACAGAATTGGAAAGCAAACAACCCCCAAACTGTTATTACTCTTCCAATAAATATGTCATATTAGATTCCTTAGCGCAAAGGGGAGCAGAAGCACCTATTCAGGAGCAATTCAGAATATCCTGTACCCTTTGCTTCAGAGATCTGTGTGTTGATGTACCCGTATGCAGAGAAGGGAACTGAATCCTGGTCACCATAACCTGTCGGCTCTGTTACTGACTTCAAACACTGAGCCTGGGCAGAGATAAGGGGAAGGGAATCTTCTTCTATCCTTACTAAAGTGAGGAACAAGCTTGGATCAACCAGGCTGCCTTTCTAGTGAAAAAAACCCAAATAGTTAAGCCTGCCTTTCTACATGAAAATTTGAATAGCTTAATTTGTGTTAATGATTTTTTTAGGCATCTAGTTTTCTTCTTTTAGGAGAAAGAAAAGTGTACCACTGTTCACTCTTCACCATCCACACGGAGGTTGGAGTCACCAAGTGCTGCTTACAAACCACCCAGGAGGTATTTGCAGAGAACAACACTCCCTCCTTAAGCCAGGTATGCAGTTGTCTCTGGGGAAGAGACAGGCAGGGATGGGAAGGATGGGAATGGGATGGGAAGGATGCCGCTGCTAGAAAGAAAATGAAAAGGCTACCACTTCACTGCTCTTCTAAAATGTAGTCTGTGCACTGAGCAAATAGAAGCAAAGAGACCAAAATGTGACACTGCTGAAATTCTGGCTCCCCAATAGCCTCAGAGAGGACTCAGGCACAGAGACGGCCTGTCCAGCTGAGGTGATACACCTCTGCGCGCAAGCTTTCTCTCATTCAAAATCGGAGATGCCAGAGATGTATTTGGGAGTGGGGAGAGATTATTTTGGATCTCTCTGCTGAATTTGGTGCTTACATCACAGCTGCAGTTTAAGTGCCCAAGAACCAGCTCCTGGACTTCACTCGGTATGCTGCTTCCTCCGAAATGTGAATTTACGCACCTCGGTACTTTTAAGGATTTGAGCCCAAAGAGTGCTCCTTTAAGTCGCCTCTGAGATTCCTCTGCTTTAGGAGTGAGCCAGTAAAGTCATGAGTGTATGCAACAAAGTCCTATGTCTGTGGCTATCAGATGGTAACCACAGCACTCTATAAGCTGATGCAGCCTTTCTATGCTATGGGCACCCAGAGCGGCGCAAGGCACGCGAAGGAGTAGGAGCGTGCAGCGAGTGACAAAACCGTCTGCCTTTGCAGTGGTTTTCGCTGTGTCTGCTGAGCAGTTTACCAGAATGTTCATCTCCGACAGGACCTCCCCCAGTTTAGAGCCAACTGTCTCTTCTTGCGACAAGTCAACGAAGGCCGATACCAGAGCCGGCGCGGACGATGGGTCACCCGGGCAGGCGGCACTGAGCCGCGGCCAGATGCCGCTGGCACTGCCTGGCCCGGGTGGGGAGGAGCGAGAGCTGCCGCCCTGATGCCCCTGGGCTGCCTGCGGGCAGGCTGCCTGCTCCTCTGCCCCTCCTTTTGAAAGACGGCCCGGGGAAGGACTCACGAGCTCTAAGTCTATTTTCCAACAGCATGCCCAGTGATGCCGGGAATCCGAGACTTTGCTGAGCCCGGCAGTGACCAGACCTACCGGGAATTAGTAGCTGCTGGGTAAGTGGCACCAGCACCAGCCACAGAGATGTGTTCGGGAGAGCCTTCACCCTCATGAGCGGACAGCTGAGAACAACTTCTGCCGCCGCGTCCTGAGCCAGCCTGGGTTAAGAAGTCACCCAGGTAATTCAGTGGCAGTGAAAAGAATAAGAATCGTTTGTGTGTCTTTTTTAATGGCTCGATTAGACAACTTTGCACTTATATTGAATGTTGATCTTCTGTTTTTCTGAAATTTATACATATATGTCACCTATCCTACAGACCATTCTGTAAACAGAACACTTCTACTCATCCTTTTTGATGCATTAAATGCACTTTTTTGCTAGATCTTATAGGATTTGAGTGGAGATTATATTCTTCCACTAGTTCATTCTTGCTGTGTAAGAATCTAGAACAACATTTTTATTAAAGCTTTTGCTTATTGCTCCTTTAGTTTCCTTTCTTTCTCTCTACCCCCTGCCATTTACCCATATTAATTTATTTCCCAACTTCTACTATCAACATTTGAAGAGTTTTAGGAGTCTAGGAGCTTATGGGGTCCCATCCTCTTTCCTATGCTTTTTGAAATCACCTAGAAGAATTACTTTCTGTGTCTTTTCTGATAATTTTCACTTTAAAATTTGATCCTCAGAACATGCTTTCATACATACATCTCTTATCCATTAATGCTAAACCACCTCTTTTTTCAGATTAAGTCTAAAATATACGAGCAACTGAAAAGTATATTATGATTCTAAAAACATGTAGGCATATAATGTTTTTTTACATAAACATATTTTAGCTGTGCTTACAAAGACTAGTATAGTTTGAAATGCTACTCAGTTCACCTATCTGTTAATGGAAAGAGCTGCAGTTTATGTTCCAAAAAACTCAGTTCTCTATGTCTTCAACAAGATTAAAATATTTGACTTTTTTATGTTTTTGAACAAGATGGGGTGTTATCCATTTTCAGTTAATGCCCATTACTAACTCTTTTTAAACTTCTGACTTCAGTGTGGACAGACCCAAGGACTCAGAATGTATCCTTGTATTTCAGAGGTTTCTAACCGTAGTGTGAACAATTATCACAGAGTAATTTCCCTCTACGTCCATTGAAGCAGGTAACATGATGGGGAAGTCCCTTGGTGCATATAGTTCCAGGGGGCTTTGCACTTTCTTGAACAGGTTTTGGAGAAAGTCCTAACAAGATATTCCCGACCAGCGTCCAGTGCAGCTAACTGATATACCGTGTCCTTGAAAAAAAAGGAATAAGGTCAAGCTGAAGACACTCCCCTGGAGAGGATACCTATGTCACTTCTCTGCTTCAGTAACTCATGTCCAGCAGATAGACGTCATTCCTCAGATTAGACATGCTACATAGAGCTGAACATTTTTAGGGCAGGAAACCACAAATATGCCCATTTCTTGTCACAGGCTGTATCTACAGCAGCGTATTTGTTTAGACATAGACTGAATGCAATGGGAAGCAACTGTCCCATTTGTTTGTCCTTGCTGTGCTTCAGTTCACCATGTGGGACGGTCTTGAAACACATCCTGTGGTTTCCTCTCAGCTCAAACAAAGCTGTGGGACATTATGCAGAAGCACAGCTAGCAGGCATTCAGTTTAAAGACTAGACTACAGCATGTCTCTCAAACAAACCTCCCTAAAATGCATATAATGTGGACAGTGGGTCCTCACCACCAACTGTTTTGCTGTCCAAATTATTCCTGTTGTGCCAGACTATGTGTCAATGTGACCGATCAGGCAGTATAAACAATGTTAAATACTGCCCACGAAAACAGCCCAAGATTATATGCATTCCTTCAACAAAATCTTCTTAACCTTGGGAGTGAAAAACTTATTACATCCGTAAATAACTAGAATCCATGATATTTATAAAGTAGCTAACAATTTTTGTTGTGACCTTTTTATAAATGCATGCTTTGTGTAATTAAAATTATCTAGAATGCAATTATTAGAACTATGGGACAGAATTATCATATTACTGCTGTTATTAATGGGCCATTCATCCAGCTGTTCTCTCTTGAGAAAACCTGTTCAGACTGTTTTTCCCTTGAAGTAAAATGGCTGCATCCAATACTGTCTGTTTTGCTTGCTCTTCTTGATCCTCACCGACCAGAAATCTTGTATTACCCCAGAAAACTACCATGTACTGTAGAAGTAGAAATCATCCTTCACAGTCTTTCACTGAAGCTTGAAGGTTTTAACAATAAATGGAAATAAATGATAATGCTGTCAGTTTGATGTTTGCCTATAGTCATATCAAAGCAGTTTCTGATGACATCTTTCAGAAGTTCACAAGTCTTAGGAATTACTTGACACATTATGGTTAGGGTTATTCTTTATCTTATTCCTTTTTTTTTTTTAGCTTAACAGAATCGGGGAAATTACATCCCAATAGCAATCCGCACAAGGTACCCAAGGGTTTTTCATCTCCCATTGCTGCACTAGGACTAAATGTCAGCAGTGCTCTCTGCACTACCGGGTGTTGGCTCCGGGAATTCTGTTTACAGGAGCACTGTATGAGCAAGAACTGCTACTACAGCAATTCCCATGGAAAAAAATTTTATTCAGGACACGGGGTGTTCTAGGTCTCACTGATTCAATGATTCTTTCTTCTTCAGCAGCTTTACCAGAGCATCTCTCCATCTGCTTTCCTCAGGAACAGAACTTTACCTTTGCTTAACTAAATAAAGAGCATTCATTGATAGGACTTAAATACACCGTTTAATATAGAAGCTCTTGATCTAAGCAGGCATTATCTGAGGTGCTGTAATGCTCATTTTGTATGAGTCCTGCATGGGTGGCACTTCCATCCAAGGATTTGCTGGCTTTGCAAAACCTTTAACAAATTAAACACTTGAATTCTTACTAGTCCTTCTCTAACTGTTGTACCTGCCACCTGGCTTCATAGCATGCCCCAGCAAACTGGTTTATGCCTTACATTTAATTATTTAAGGAATGAAATGGCTTTTGAAAAATTCTTGCAGAGTTTGACCTTTCTGGATGAAGCTATCTTTAAATTTTGAGAAAAAAATATACTGACAGTATCTAAACCTCATACAGTCTTTTTTTTCTCTAGTATCTTCAAAATGATTAAATCTTCCATGTTACATTTTTGAAGACCTATCTGAACATCACGCAAAAACTCTGTTTCCCTTTAAAAAGTCAGGCTTTTTTATTCTGGCATCAACTTTAGGAAAAACACGACTTTTTTATCTTTCAAACTGTTAATAATCTCACAGAAATTAATTTGCAAGATGTCACTTTTAGGACAAGATAAGACTAGCCTGATAGAATTTGTTGTGGAAAAATTCCATTTAACTTTGTGAAAAGATGACTAGTTGAGCTTCTATGCACTTCCTAGAACAAAAACATGGACTATTTATTTTATCTGCTCTTAGACCACAGCATAGCTGAACTTGCAAAGCACTGGATATGAGCTTCAAAAGCCTCATGTTCATTAACTCAGATCAGTTCAAACTCAGATCAGTTAATAAGCTTTGGGGAAATTACCTGATTGAATTTGTCTACAAATTGCGTTAGTCAAGCTTTGAATGGCACTGAATTCGATCTATGTGATTTCAAATATTTAAATCTGTCTATCAAACAGTATATTGGATTTTACCTGTAGTTTTGCATTACAAGAAATTAGAAGTCTAGAAGTATTAGGTTTGAGCCACGACAGGCAGGACTCACATCTCAGTTGGTGTTTATGGAAAATCTCCCTCATCTGCAGGTTTTCAGCTTGTCTTGGAATGCATTTTCTACATGAGGAGACAACCACGCAAGCAGCAATCCTCCTGAGGAATCAGCGTTCAACGGAAACCACTTCAAAGTTTTATGGGGCAGCAGATAGATAAGGGAAAGACATACATTTTTAAAGCATCTCAATAACCTAACACATCTTGGTGTATCCCACATTAAACAGGTAAGAAATCCCACTGAAGCATACTTACTATACTAGTTGTGAAAAGCAACAAGGTGAAAGCCTTTGACTTAACAACCTTCAGTGCATGTACTCGTGTGACGCTGTACGAGCAGAGTTTTGGCCTTATCATGACTGTTGATGCTCCTGGAGACTCCTGGCTCATTCTGCTGATAAGGCTTAAGAGGATTTCCGCGATTTTTGTGGGATGTGCTATTGAAAAAGGCTGTCCTCAGTACCTTGATCATGCTAAGAGAGTCAGTGAATCTGCAAGGCTTGAAAAGACATATAGTCAAAAGGCAAATTGACAAAATAATGATTTCATCAAGTGGACACAGCCTGCTAACACCGTTATACCACAGGCAGCAACAACGGACTGCTGTGCAGCTCCATATAACCACATAAACAATAACCCTGTGGGGGTCCCACCTGGCAGACCATTACACATGGAGGAGGTAGTGATCCACGTAGCAGTTGACCTGAGCAGCGCAGGCTCGTGTTGTGCCATGCTGTACTACACGTATAACTTGGCCTTGAGGACTGTGCTGTCCCACCCACATCCCTTGCTCTAGGATAAGCACAGCTGGCTAGTTGTAACCGAAGAGCCTGTAGGCAGCACCCACTTGTCACCAGCGATGGTACCACCAGCATGTCCTCGATTTTATCTTGAAGCAGCATCTTTTCATATACACATCTTTTGGCATCACAGTAAAAATGATGAATAGAACTGCTTCCCTTCTAAGGAAATCCTATGAAAACCCTAAAAACAACAAGCTGTTGGACCTCATCACAGGTGGGGAGTCTGAGCAGTGTGTCATGCCATGGTCAGAGGTCTGTCTGATGCTGTATCATTTTGGTATTCCCAGCATTAGAAAGGACATAAGATATTATAATTTGTTATCACTTTTTGTGGGGCATTAATAATATGGTTAACTTTCTTGAGAGTGCTTCTGCCTTTCTTCCTGGCATCCAAAAAGAGCCAGCACCTCCTGGGGTCAAACAGACACTATCTATGCTGGTCTACAGAGATTCACATGATTTCCTATTTATTATTTATGTTATTAGCATCATTGTGGCAGCAAACATGAAACATTTATTTTACTGGGATGCTCACCACACCTACCACTTCCGTCTAGTGAAGTGTCTGGCGGTGCGTCCATGGCCACACAGAGCACTCCCGGCAGCACACACATGGCATAGGACACCCAAGAGGCAGCCGTGATCGAGCTTCACCGATCTTTGGCCTGGCCTGGAGGAAAGGGGGAGAAGCCAGTTGTGCTGTGCCCAGAGGGAAGGGCCTGGGGGCCAGGCACAGCATGCCCAGGCAGCAGAAAGGCAATGCCTGCCCCCACTTTTGGGACAATGCAGCCAGCTGGTGCTTAAGAGAGATACAGGGAAAGGCATCACCTTAAGGTTCCAAAAAATTTCTGCTTTTAAGAGTGTTTCTTGCTTACGTGTAGGACTTTTGTTTGATCATTCTGAGTGACCCAGGAGTACTCTCTAAGCCTCTCGACTCTTTGCCTTAATCATCTGTGCATTGCAGATAATGAGAATTGCTTTGCAAATCATTTTGTGTCTGTAAAGTGCTTTGAGATAACGAGATGAAAGACATGGGGAGCCTCATCTTGCCAAACAGAGATCTCTTGGGATCTCCCAGAAGAGTGCCCAGTCAATATTCAAGCTGTTAAAATTATTGATGAGATATTGCTGTTGATCGTTTCAGGTGATTCTACCCTTCTCACGTTGGCTGCATGCAACGATTAGGATAATTCTCCTAGGTTTTCTCCCCCTGTGGGCCTTGGTATTCAGCCACGTCAGCTATGGCTTTATCTGGCTCCCTTCCCTACGTGAAACTACCATAGAAGCTGGCCGATCAGATACCCTGGTACAATAAGGTTAGTTACTTCCAGCCCAGCTGAGGGGAATCCTGAAAGGGGCCGAGGCATGTAAGCCCCAAAAGACAATGATCTTTAAGGCAACACCCAACTACGGGAGCTGAATTCACAGTCTCCAGCCAGGTTTCTTCTACAGGGCATCAGACAGAGAAAGACACCTTAAGGTGGAGTTCAGAACAGGCAGCACATTGAGTGGAGACATCCTTATGCCAAGCAGTAGGAGATGTGTTTTGGGAAAGAGGCGTGCTTGCAATCCTGCCCACCTCCTGCCATTTATGCATCTAACCACCAGTCTGAGCAGATGTTGGTGTGTTTATGTCCATTGAGCTGAATACAATGGGACCAAGATCGATCCCTGCCCTCATGTCAGTGGCAAATACAATGAAAAAATGGTTTTTTTGCTTCTTTTCTGATAAGGGGTGGGATTATGCAAGGTTAGTGAATTGCAGTTAATCACTTTAGACTGTTGGGGTGTTTTTTCTTCCTTAGTTCTTGGTTGTCTTTCCCTGCTCGGGGTCTGCTGCAAATCCTACAACTTGTGAATTTGTCCTTAGGTATACAGTTGTGTCTAGTGGAGTGGAAGAGATGTTCAGAGGATTCATTCAAATTCATGGTGAAATCTGGGTGCAGTGGGAACAGCTTGTGCCACACAGGAGCAAGTTACGGCCCTGATTATCAGGGAGGGAAGGAAACAAATATTCACCTTCCTTTGGTAGCAGGAAAAACCTTGCACACACCCTACTGTCAGGGTGGTCCTGGAGCATTGCATCCAGCCTTTGGATGTGATGTATTTAAACCTCTAGGGACTTCAGCTCTGGAGGTTGTCCAGTAGTCAAAGACCTGCATTTTTCTGAGTGATCTGGATACGTTCCCATGGTGCAGATTCTCTGTTTCAAGCTTCCTCCTGAAAGCTGCTCTGCTTTCTTGTTAGTGCTCTCCTGGGTCCAGTGTTACTTAAACATGTCCACTCCTTGAATCCCACTGAAGCTGTGACGTTCCCGGCTCTGCAGGTAACATACCACAATCCCAGCAATGACGGGAACACCCCACTCCTTTCACTAAAAAAGCAAAATGAAAAATAGCGTATGTCAGCAGAAATCATCCAGCTCCCCGCAGGCGAGGTCCCTCTGTCCTCTTCACCCTTCCTTAGGTGTCTGTTGGTCGTTATTGCTCAGCTCAGCAGGCAGAAAGCCCACGGCCTGCCCTGTCTGACGGCTCGGAGCGAAGCAGTCAGCTTCTCCTGCTCTAAAAGCCTGCCTGCTTCTCGCGCCCTCCCAGCTTATGTGTCTCTGCCTCTTTTATGAGGCTTTTATACACACCTCGGTGAGCTGCCTCCTCACTGAGGGACTCGCTAATGATACAGCCGTTTTCAGTGTCAATGCTATAAAGTAACTTCATAACATCAAACATAATCGTAAGCAATACAATTTCCCAAATGCCACCAAAACTGAGACTGGAACAAGTTTCAGCCATCTGGGCACTTTCTTTCTCTAAATAACTTGTCCAAGGGAAGGAAAAGACAAGGAGCTGTTAAAGCTCTCTGACACTTGTGGGAATTATGCAGCTGCAATTATGTACAAAGCTACAGGCTTTGTACATAAAATAAATAAAATTTATTTATACTTTTATTTAGAATATTTAGTACGGGCATTTCAAAGTCATGCTTATCTTACTTGCTAACTCTTCACTGGAAAATTGTCAGCTTTGCCCTGGAGAATAATATTTTAAATAATCAGTGAAGTTTCTAGAGGTGCCCGTTATGTACTCTATTTTTAAGACTTATAAGAGCAATAGACATAAATGCACGCGTACATAAGGAAAGCTTGGGGCTGGAGTTCATTGGACCTTGTTTATATGTACATAAGGGCAAGCAGGGAAGCGTGGAGTTCTGTGGGCCCAACGCTCAGATCATTTTCTCTCTTTTGTACTTTACCTCCCGAATGGGTCATCAGCTTTGTGATCTTTCCTGGTGTAACAGCCCATCGTGTTGCTGTATCCCACTTGGCCATATTTTGTCATTAGAACTAATATTCCTACACCAGCTAAGTACAGAAATGACTCTATTAAAGTCAGTGTGGCTTCCAGTTACTCCAGGACACACAGATCACTTCTGTCTACACGCTGGCCCCTCTGGGTCAGTTGATCAGTAGATGACAGCTTCCAGTTTTGCCATCATGATGTATTTATCTGTTCCTAACTGTTATTGGAATGACATCTTTTATGGCAGAGCGTTAAAGAGGATGAGTATTTTCATTTTTTAAAGCACATGCCGTGCTGCCAACAATTTGAGAAATCAGAGGCTGTCTGCTCTTCCTTAACACTGATTTCTATTCACACATATCTTTGTGTATGTGTCATTGGAATCAATCTTTACAGCTCCTGACTGGAAAATCATTATGCTTCAGGAAAAATATTCTATAAAAAAGTATGCTTTTTAGTATTACACAAACTGAGATTGACATATGAAGTGTCCCAGGTAACCCTGTCATGGTGAAAAACATAAGAACTTTCCACTATTTCTTAAAAGTGTATTTGTTTAGACAAATCAATATTAATCAAATATTGAGTGCTGCCATTGAAGCCTAGTACGCTTGCTTTATGGATATTTCTCATCTTTATTTCAGACTGTTGTAAAATTCAAATGTTTCTATTAAATATTTTTATATGTCTGTTTTTTCTTTATATTCTTAAATCCAGTTTTATTACATTTCAGTTGCAAAGCACAATCTTCTCTGTGGTCAAACCAGCTGAATAGCTATCACGTTACCACTTAATCACAATTTTAATGACTATCTTTTGATGATAGTCCTTTCACCTCTTTCATCTCACATTCTTCCCCTTTTTTCTTCTTAGTATGTTTCTCTGTCTGAATCTTGTCTGCAACTTTTCAATAGCTTCTTTCTAACCATATGCACATATTATTTTGTATAATAAAGTTCTTAAACATTTCCTAATTTTTTGGGGCTTTGTAAATATTATTGTGCTTCAAAATACTATTATCGTTTGGAGACTGGTACACCTCTCTTTCCACAATACTTCCATCCAGAAAAAGGAAATGAAACAGAGGAGACCAGTGAAACAAAGATGCCTGAATGCTGGTGCTACAAACTTGATCTGGCACATTCAATTTTTTGGCCTTTTTACAGTCTTCAACTGGTTCTGAAACATTATAACAGCAATACAAACACACTCCCATATGCAAACATATGAAAGTAACAAAAGTCTGACCAGCCTTTCAGAGAGATGAAAGGTTTCCAACATTTTCAACTTCCAATGCAATAAATCCTATTTCTGTTTAGTAGTCTCTACTGTCTGTGCTGCTGGTATTTACGCAGAGAGGCATCTAATTTCTCTACAGTAACAACGAAAATCCAGAGAACTCTGCAGTCCTTCTGCTTCAAGGAGCTCCCATGACTGCAAATTCAGTTGCTAGCCTATCTGTTTTAAATTGTTTGTATGGAATGGCAAGACTGAGGTATACAAATGTCTTACAAATATCTCAGTCCATGACCATATCTATTTATGATACGACTTTTTTAAAGCTAGAGCTAAGTCCTGTTAACAGCAAAATCAAACTCTCTTTTTCAAAGGAAACTTGAATGCCTCAGTCACAAGTCTGTTATGAATCGCATTTTGGTATTTCCAAAATTCTGGCAGAGCTGAAGTATCCAAAATGCACCACCTGATGTTGTAATGAACAACAATCCCTCTGTCACTCTTGGCTGTAGCATGCATCACCTGGGAGGAGAGCATGGAGATGTAACGGAACTGAAACTCTCAGACAGCCGTAAGAAGAAAGTTTTAGAAGATTGTTTTCAGGGCCTGAATAAGCTGATGAAATTAAAGCTAGACAGGAACCACTATCCAAAGGCAATTGAAATGCCTCATGATTTATGCAAGAAAATGATGGAAAGTGAAGATGACTCTTTTGCTAACTTAGCAAATCCTAGGGAACTGTTGCCTGATGAAAAATGTTTATGTAAAATACCAGCTGGGTTTCCATTTCCTTTAACTACTCTGAATTTGAGAAATAACTGCACATTTTCCGTCAGCAACAGTTCTTCCAGCACATGCACAGTGGCAGAACTATCTCGAGGAGAATCATCTTTACAGTAATGCCAGGGGGGAAAAAAACACACAAAACCCTCAAAGCCCCCAACAACAAACAAATCCCCCCAAACCCCAGCCCTTTCTTCACAGAGCGTTGCTTCTCACATGCCTCATGACCATACTGGTCCGTGAAGAACCTCCCCAGAGGCTGAAATGGACTGCCCCTCCCTGGGGACCTGTGCCCGGGGGCCAGGACTGGCCATCCCCAGGCACAGGAGGGGAGGGTCTGCCCAAGGTCCCACCTGGGCTCTGCTGCCCAAAGCTGGTGCCCAGGAAAGGGATGGTGTTGAATTCTCCTAGATGGTTTTATGGATAAAACCTGCTCCTCTTGAATTCAACTACTCAACAAAAGGTACAGCCTGGGGTGAGTTTTTACTCTGTATCCTTTATAGCTTCTTGACTCATTTTTTCATCACGGCAGAAAAGTGCTGTCCCAGGTATATAAACATGTCTGACAACTCCTGTAACCTGCTTCCCTCCAGTAACTCTACTGAAGAGGTTTGATGTTCAAGGACTTTATATAAAGGCCTTCAGAAATCTTAAAATTCCTACATGGAGTTTTGGAGTCCTATTTATCAAGCGAGATGATCTCAGTCTTTCACTAAGCTAAGTGCAATTTCTTTATCTGGCAGCAGAATATCGCCTTTATCACAGGGTAGCAACAACAGTACTATTAGGAGGAAATCAGTCAAAACCAGATACAGACCCGGAGTAAATAATATGCCCTTGCCAGAAAATAAGACCAGCAATGATATGTCTTTGCTGAAAACTCAGTGCGACATTTTGGATAAATCCTTCAAAGTTCAAACAGTGTTTTTCTTCACTGGCAAACAGAAATTTGAAGGTGCATAAAGGATATTGTGTTTGAATTTGTCTCTTAATAGCATTAGTCAAGCTCTGAATGGTACCAATTTTAAGTTTCCAACCTAATTTGAAATATTTAGATTTCTCCAGTCATAAACTGGACTTAGTTTCTCATTATGCTTTTCATGAATGACCTACTTTAGAGGCGTTGGACCTTGGTGAAGATAAGCACTACTTTACTCTGGCCGTGATAATCCATAAGTTGAGTTTTATATATATCTTTTTTTTAAGACTTTGAAAGCAACAAACCAGGATTTAAGGAGGTCTACCTCAAGTGTATGGACATGAATAAGGAAGTGCCAAGAGGACAGAATGATGGTGGAAACTCTCACACTTTTTTGGAAATCACATGTGGGTGTCTCTCTGAAGCACTATACACTAATGCCCACAGCATGGAGAGCAAAAGCAGGGATTTGATGTCTGTGTCTAGTTGCATGGCTTCAGCCTCATCAGGATGATAGAGATGTGAGGGGATAGCTCACACAACTGGAATGCTGTGATCTTGGATACAGGCTTTTTGGGAAGGACCGGACAGGATAGTGAGGTGGTGGAGTTATTCTGTATGTGAGAAAACATCATGAGCCAGCTGAGAGCCTGTGGGTCAGGACTAGCAGGCACATCAACATGTGTGACAGTGTTGTGGGTCTGCTACAGACCACTTGATCAGGAAGCAGAAATAAATGAGGACATCTTCAGAGAACTGGAAGATGTCTCCGTTTGCACATCCTGGTCCTTATCAGGGACTTCAACCACCTTGATATCTGCTGAAGGCATAACACAGTGGGGCACAAGCAACCCAGGTTGTTTCTGGAATGCATTGATGACATCTTCTTGACACAGGTGATTGAAGAGTTGACAAGGGGAGGCACTCTTCTGGAACTCATACTTACAAAAAAGGAAGAACTGATCAAGGATGTGAAGGTCAGGGGCAACCTTGACTGCAGTGACCATGAGATGGTGGAGACCAGGATCCTGAGTAGAGGGAACAAAGCAAAAAGCAGAACCATAACCCTTGTCTTCAGAAGAAAAAAACTGAGGGTGAAATGGGTTGCCCAGAGAGGTTGTGGAGTCTCCATCCTTGGAGACATTCAAAACCCAACTGGTCATAATCCTGAGCAACCTGCCTTACCTAATCCTGTTCTGAGCAAAGAGGACTGGACTAGATGATCTCAGTGTTTCCTTCCAACCTCAGCCACTCATCAAGTTACTTGGCATTTTACACTCACAGAGACTATTTTAGTCAACAACTCTCTAGAAAAGCTAGTGCTTGATGGAAATCATCTCAGTCATTTATGGAAAGATGGACATAACTGTTATGTAGATCAATATAAAAACCTTTGTAGACTGGTGTATCTTGACACATCCCACAACAAACTTCATAATATTCCCCACCAGTAAATCCTTGATGGTCCACAGCAATTATCTAAACTATTATTAAACAATGATGAACTACAGTGCTTTTTGAACAGCGACTATAGTCTTAAACCCTCAAATAAAGCATCTAAGCTGAAAAGTAAAATTCTAGGTAAAATAAATGTCATATGATGACAGTAATAATAATTAATATTATTAAAATATATATGATAATCTTGCCAACAGCATTCCCTCCTTTCAGGTACTTTTGCTTCAACATAACAAGTTATCCCAACTTGCTGATGGACTTTTTTGTGATGCCAGCAGTGTAACTTATCTCTATTTTTACAGCCACCTTCATCACATGAAGCAAGCAACCTTCCTGTCTAAGAAGTTAAATTATTTAGAGTAACTGGGCTTCAAAGAGAATCCTTCTGAGTGTGCCTGTGCAATTCCTGATTTCTCGAAATACCTGTATGTAAATGTTAATGTAAGCATCCCATGACTGGCAACTGATCTCATCTGTGCAATACCGAAACATTAGGCAGGTTAGAGCATAGTGAACACAGACCTACATGCCTGGACGAGCTTTCAGCAATGTGTTGCTTTGCTTTTTATTTTATTATTTTGACTGCTATAATAGCCCTGCTTGACAAAGTGGCTCTGAGTCCACGGTCACACAAAACACTCCCTACCAACACACACATTGCACAGGACACCCAAGAGGTAGCGGTAACCAACAGGGAAAACTCCGAGCTTCAGTTGGCCTGGAGGAAAAGGGTTCCTGCCATGCATGGAGGAAAGGGTCTGGGAGGTGGGCAGGGCTGAGAGCCTTTTCTGACATAGTGTAGAAACAGCAGGACTCTCAGAAAATAATGAGTAATACAACAGATTTGATACAGACTTCATTGAGTGATGGGACAGAAATGTCAACATTCACCTTAGAAACTGCTTTATCAGCATGAAGAAGTCACTTGAATTGTGAAGGTAGCTGTAATTTCATTGAAAAGACTGCAGAAGTTCAGAAAGGTCACAAACTGTAAAGCTTTGGCCTGATTTTATGAGAAGTTGTGGTTGAACCCCAGCCAGCAGCTAAGCACCACAGAGCCACTCGCTCACTCTCCCTGCACCCCAGCAGGATGAGAGGAAGAGAATTGGAAGGGTAAAAGTGAAAAAACTCATGGGTTGGGATAAGAACAGTATAATAATTGAAGTAAAATATATTAACAACAACTACTTGTAATGAAAAGGAAAATAACAAAGAGCAAGCAATAAAACCCAAGAAAGACAAGTGATGC